GTGTGCCATAGAAGACTTTTAGATAAAAAGAAAAGTCAACAAATTTTTAAATACTTCAGCAAGTTACGTCCCTTATCAAATTAGTGAACATTTTGTTCCCAAAGCGAAGATCTATTTTTCTCCTTATTAGTTGTTTTAATATTTTTCACATTTACGCTAAAATAATATTTAATAAAAGATTTTTACCATCAAATGCTATTGCAATATTTAAATAATACTATTATTAAGAAGAGTCAAATATCTTATATTACACCTACAATCTAAGTTTTGAAGTTGTTAATGATAGTGAGTTACCACTATTATAGACGGTTGGCCTTTTCTAATTTAGATGGAGAGTTGTAGTTAATGAGAAATCATTTGTTGAGAGATATCAATTAATTCTTTCTCCATAAGAAGGTAGAGGGGGGGGGGGCAAGGAAGGTGGTTTAATGTGGGATCTATCTCCCTCTCGGTCTTGGTTGGTCGAGATGTTTTATAATGATTCTTAGTGTTGGTGTCAGATGTAAGGATATAATGACTACTCATAGGTCAATAGACTAGATATATATGACCAGGTGACAATGAATTTGGTTTTGGTAGGTCACGTGAACATGCCAGAAGTCATATCAACAAGTTACTACTTATTGAAGAATCTTAGACATTCGAGGTTCTTCCTCTGGAGATATCAAAACACTTTTATGTCTTTCGGAGTTTTCCAGATATTAGAGATTCATAGATGATTTTGAATCCTTGAAAGATCCTTAAGTACGAAACTAACATGTTATAGGCCTTTGGTAGAAATATAACAAAGTTTGAATATTAAAAAGACTACTGTAAAAATACTAACCATGTAACACCCAAATCCGATACGACACAAAGTCGACCGATTAGAATGCCCCACATGCACACTGGAGTGACTAATCCAAAATTTTTCTTAAATTTCTCATTAAAATGACGATTTAAAATCATTTAACATTAAATAATTTAAACATAAATATATATAAAGCTTACACCAGAAGCTCCCAAAAATAGTATATCAAAATAATACAATCGGGTATTACAAAATAAAGTTACGACTCGACTACACAAGGGTCTATAAATGATACATGCCCTCTAAGAAATATAACAAAATAAACTTGTCTCTTCAGTTGAACATGTAACAAATATATAAGAATGAAGGATCATTACATAGGTGTGCCGACAAGTGGTATGACTGGATAATCATATTATTAAATAGTAGAGTAGTTAACCGAAAGAATGACCGAGAATGTTGGACATACAGTTATCCCTTTAATTCGAGGGCGAATTGAGTGAAAGCGTAGCAATCACGAATAGAGTATCGCTACTCAGAAATGAACCCAAGTTAGATATCGAGCTAGCCAGTTTCATGGTCAGTAAACAATATACACAATAATTGTCGTAAAGTCCCAAAACATGTAGAGACTTATTTAGAGTTAGAAAATGACTAAAATGCCCCTAAGTAGCGAACAACCAGATCAACACGAATTATCAGTAGTAACAGACTAATAAATCATTGCATAACGTTCTAGATAAGAGAAAGAGCGAGATAGTAGCTAGAGAGAGTAGTAAACGAGACCAGTAATAACTCATAATAGCTAAAAACAATAACAACTAGGATGTCATAAAACTAGCCTTAAGTGACGCTCGGGAAACAACCAGGAAAACCAAGTTACTTTAGCAGTAAGGTGATTATCTTGTTTGTTAGAATGTCTAGGTATATACTAGTCAGTGCCAAGGCACTTTAGATGTCAGATTGGCTCAGATGTCCTAAGACTCGACGGAGTAAATTGACAGGGTGTACGTTTCCGATGCAACTCCGGATCTCACCCCATATACCCAAAAGGTCAAGTGTACATTTCTGATGCAGTTTCGGATCTTATCCCAAGCACCCAAGGGATCTTAGGTAGTCTAGAAGGGTGTGTGAGCTCCGAGATGTAGCCCCTCAGTTGCACCATGATGCATACCTTAGCTTGCATGTTGTACAACAGAGTCGGTATTACATTTAGATAATACATAATAGAATCAATATTACATTCAGATAATGCACAATAGAGTTAGTATTTTCTTCAGATAATGTACAATAGAGTCAATGTTGCATTCATATAATACACAGCAGAGTTAGTGTTGCATTCAGATAATGTACAACAGAGTTAGATAATGTACATCCACTACAACAAATTTATCAATTTATGACGAAATTTTTATACGACGTTACAAATAACGTCACAAAAATACTATAAATGTGACATTTTTTCGTTTTCTCACATTTAGTGATTCATGATATATGTTTTATGACAATTTTAAAAATTGTCATTGATTTTTGTCACTATATGTTTGGAGCTAAAATTTGCCTCCAAATTTTTTTGTGGGAAACATTTTAATGATGTTTAGATAAAATGATGACATTATTAAATTGTCTCCAATAAGATATAACTATTAGTGATGATTTATTATTATGATGATATTATTTGAACTAGTGAGATTGAAGATTTGTCAATTATAGGTGGTATTTTGTGACAATTTAATTTGTCATATATTTTAAGATATAAAATATAACATTTTATTTGTGCCACAAATAGGTTTAACATAACGAAAGCAATTATTTGTCACAATCTATTGTCTTTTATATAAAAATTTTAAAAGACATCATGAGATCGTGTCACTTAATATTTGGCACCATGAATTAACAAAAGAAAATTGTGGAAATATTTTTAGTGACATCTTAGATATGTCACTAATTTAAAATCTTATTAGTGATAAATTTCAAATGTTTTTTTTTTTATTTTTTAAATTTATTTATTATATATATATATATAAGATTTTTTTGTTAATAAATATATGTATATGTATTTATATGTTCAAGATCTCTTTTACTGTTTAAAAATAATCTTTAGTTGATCATGTTAAAGACGAGTGCTAATATGATAATTAATGTTGTGCCCCAAAAATGAGATTAAAATAATTTTTTGAGATTAAAATAATTAAATATGTTGTTCCCCAAAATCTAATGGGATGATGCACTAGATCTCTTAAGCAAGGTCAATAGTTTGAATCCTAACGACCGATCCGAATTAGTCTATCAATAGATCAAATACTAGTGATTATACCAAAATCAAATTAAATGAAATAAAAAAAGAGATAAAAATATATTAATCCTTAAAATTGACACTATAAAAAAAGAAAAATAATGTGTGAGTGAAAATAAAATAGTAATAATAATAATAATTAAATAAGATAAAAAAAATAAAAACACATTAATGTAAGGACCAATATGTAAAAGAAAAAATTAATTGGGTTGCAATAGCAAATAAATTTGTTTGAAAATGATAGAATTAAGACAAAAATAATAAAGTTGAGGGACCAAAATTAATATAATCCTAAAGGTTGCATAGCAGTGCGGATCTCCATCCTCTTTTGTAGGCCTGTAAATGAACTGAACGTTCAACGAACCGTTCGTGAACCGTGCGGCGGGAAGTTCGTTTATGTGCGTTTATTTATTAAATGAACGAACATGAACAAGATTTTGTGTTCGTTTAATTAAACGAACGAACATGAACATAGGTATCGTTCGTTCATTTACGTTCGTGAATGTTCGGTTATGTTCGTACGGTTATGTTCGTTTATGTTCATTCATTTATGTTTAACCCAATCTTCTTAAATCAATTTTGGTGACCAATTTGTAAGTATCTTAAAAATATTAATTAATATGATATTCTGATGACTAACTCCATAATTAACCTAATTTTATTTGGAGATTAAATCTAATATGTTAACCCGTGAGGCATCTCGCACCTATATTCATTTTTCCCTTTTTTTCCCAAACCCTGGTGTTCACTGGAGAGTGGAGACGATCGCTGAAAACTTCAAAACAAGTTATATTACAGTGCAATATGAAGTTTTACAGGTATGTTTTCATCTCTTTCTCTGTTTTATTTGACTTAATAGTTGATATGTAAAGTTATTGCGGGTATCTTCACATCTAAAACTCAAGAAAACATCATACTTCTTTCTAGAAATAGATGGGAAGATAAAGGTAACAATCAAAAGTATATGAGCATAAGTAAAGAGAAAAATATATAGAATTTGCTAGAAAACAAAAGAAAAGTTTCTATGCAATTTCTGAAAAAGAGTGTAATAGCGGAAGTAATGGGTTTTCCAGGAAGAATCCATTAATAAGTAGAAAATACACTTTGACAATGAACTTTTGTTTTCATAGTTCTTGTGTGACCTTTAGTTGTGGAGTAGACTTTAAGTGCGTTAAAATTTTGAATGGTGGTTTAGCAATAATATAAGTTCCGATATGTAGCATCGAAGGGATTTCTAATATATGTTATTGCCTTGTAGTCCAATTTGTACTGTTCGAAATCTTCATGCTGCTAAATTTTCTACTCTGCCAACAGAAAAGACCATTATTAACAAACATCATTAAAGTATGACATTAATGTCACAAAACTTTTAGCCGACGAATTTATTAGAATAAAGTAGTGGAAAATGATTGTTCATATGTAATCATGGACCACTAAGATAAATATTGTAGTGTTAAATTAAAGTCGTGTGAATCATTTAATATCTTTAAAAGATCTATCGAAATATTTGATATATTCAAACATTTCATCACTACTAATCAGCTCTTATGCTATTTATCACTGTAGATTTGGTTGATTTGCATTGTCGACTATTTTTCATGAAAGAACAATGGAATGTATGGTCTCCAACGTTTATGTTCGTTTATGTTCGTGTTCATTTATGTTCGTGTTCGTGTTCGTTTATGTTCATGTTCGTTTATGTTCGTGTTCGTTTATGTTTGTGTACATTTATGTTCGTTTATTTATTAAATGAACGAACATGAATAAGTTATATTTATTAATAAACGAACATAAACGTTTATGTTCGTATTCATTTATGTTCGTTTATTTATTAAATGAACGAACATGAACATACATTCGTTGGTGTGCTTTCAGTTCGGCCTACTCTTTTGCTCTCTATATTTCCTCCTGTCAAACAAAGAAAAGTAAAATTCTCTCAACATCCAACCCTAGCTACCGATGCTTTTAAGCCTTCGCCGCTGTGCTACGGTGACTTTACTGGCGATACTTTGTAACAAAATGACCCACAACGCCTTCTCTTCTCTTCCATCCGAACGAATCTTCCGAAACATGAATAAGGAAAAGCAAAACTAGATTGGAGCGTTAGTCTCTTCACTTGTTGGATCCATGTTGTTCATCGTCGGATAGGATTGAAATCACACACTGTTCCTCTTGTTGACTTAGGCTCCTTATCTACCTTTTCAATTCACCGGCGAATGCTCCAACTGTCACCAACTTAAGAACCCGATAAGGTAAGCTTTCCCTCTTCTCTCCCTTTTGTCTTAATTTTCTCCCCATTTTCCCTTCTCAAACTTCTTATTTTCTTTGAATCTGGTGGTATTGGATTTAACTCGATCATGGGTTTTCGGTATGGTCAGGGTCATCGAATTCAAATCTTCTGGCTCTAGATTTTCTATATGGGGAAATTCGTGGTTTTTTTTGGGTGAAAACCATTAAAATTCCATAGAAAATTATAATGATTCTAAACGGGAATAATTTCGCACCAGGTTCATCATTTCCCCTACATTAGAACAGATTAGCGATATTACCTTGAACAAGAACTGTTTCCAACCAAATATCACATCATCTTCTCCGCTCGGCTTCCCTTTCAGCAACCAGAACATAAAAGTCTGATCCTAGCATGTCATGTATATCAATTTTCAGTGAGCTGCTCAACTCAACGGTCTCCGTGATCAAATCTGCATCCATACTGAAGCCTAAAGTAGACAATACCCAGACAACATTCACGATTCTGCATATGTTCTGCCTCATCTCTAGTGGGGTATGAGTTTGGTTTTTTTTTCTTCAAGAGCCATGGATTGTTCAGAACTATTAGCTTGATCCACTACCATACTTTCTCTGGTTTCGACATGTTCACCAACCCATATGAATCCATTGCGCCCGAGTATCAAGTCAATTCCAAACTGTTCGAGGTGATGGAAATGCTATTTGTTTTTCTTCACTAGGTAAGGATCAATTATGAGCAAGACCATGTTTGCTACATAAGCTTCTGAAACTGATGATAACCCAATTGAACTTTACGGTTCTAAAAATTGATGATGCCATTGGTCCATCAGACTACTGAGGTATAATTTCCAAACTGTTTCACCTAGAAGATTACCCTGTTTCGATTGTGTTTTATAATCGTCTTAAACTTTTTTTTGTTTGCTCGAGAGAAACATGCTTTACTTATATATATTTGAACTGTCGAGCCCTCTGTTGGTTGAAGTGGAATGATGGACTCGTGTTATTGGAAATGATTATTTACATCTTTTTTTTTTGGATAATTTGATTTTATTACCCAAAGAAGAAAAGAACGTACAACAATCAATACAAACTACCAAAATACAATAAAGCACCAACCCCTACTAGCAGCCTAATAACAACCATACCAAACATACATCCAAAATAAACAAATAAAAGAGCAAGCAGCCAAGCTCCCCATGGAGCAATCACCCATGGCCTGCACGCATCAACACATGAATAACCAAGATCCCTCAGCAAATCAACAAACACCAGCAGCTAGCCAATGCTCCATTCCAGACAAAGCTGAAGATTAACACTATCAACCTTGTTTATACTGCATCCATGAAGCCTAGCACCGACAGATCTCCTAATACATTCAAATATATCGTCAGCTGTCCTAGAGCAGCCTTTAAAACACCTGAAGTTACGTTCTTCCCACACAGAGTATAAACAGCTTTATTGTACTTAATATACTCTTCTGATTTTCTTTTCTTTGCCACAGGCATTCCCTTCAGGAAACTAGAACTGTGTCTACTGTACATGCAAATATTGTGGGATGGTTGAAAATACACATCAAAGGGGCAAAGATGACGGTGCAGTTCCTACAGTTCTAACATGTCATTTATGTGAAGAAAAATGTTTGCCTTTGTTAAGTTCCAAGCTATTGTTTTTATATGTTGATTGCCGATTCCTCTTGACCTTTATTTATAATTTTGATGCGTTGTTGTTCTTACTATCATATGCAATTCATTTCTTAAGGATTGTTTTTGGGTAGATCATGAGCCATGTATTCAGCCAATGGATGCTTTTGATGACGATTCAAGTAGTGCATTCTTTTGTGGGAAGAGATGCAAAGAGGTATAATTTTAGTTTGCAATTGATATAATTGTGCCGAGGGGAATTTGTGGTGGTTTCCTAGATTTGTAAATATAATTTTATTGCTATTTTCCACTGTCAGTTAAGCTATGTCTGCTGGTATGAAATGATTGTGATTCTCACTTTGTCAAATTTAATGAGGGTTGTCTCTATTTTTCATGTTTCGAAGTTTATCTTTAAGGTTTTTTTTTTCTTTGAGTTTTTTCTAGTTGTTTGAAAGACTTCAGAAGCTAGTTGGGGTTAAACATGAACTTCCAGAAGCTTTCTCGTGGACTCTTGTTCAGCGCTTTGAAATCAGTTCAGACATTTGTCTCAATGAAGCATATAGTTGAATCAGATTCAAAGCTCGCTGTTGCATTATCTGTGATGGATGAGTGCTTTTTGCCTCTTGTTGACCACAAAAGTGGGATCAATCTGATTCATAATATTGTCTACAATTCTTGGTACGTGTTCCATCTATACTTAAGTATATATTGCATTCTTGAAGAAAACTCTTCTTTTCCTTCTAACTATGATGTGAAAAGTATGGTTTGATCTTGTTGCTCGGTGCTATACACACGTCATCATTTATTTATTTCTTTTTTTGGGTCTTCAATCTTTGAATCATAATGAGAATCCTTGTGATTGTGTGTGTCTTGTTTAATCTTTGTTCCTTTGTTTTCTTTTAGGGTTTCTTATTGTTTTTGTTTTTGTTTGAATTGCCAGGTGGTAACGAGGGTTTTTGTTTACTTTGTGCTCTTCATCATCACATTGAACTTTCATTGAACTCATCAAGAGTTGTATCGCCTCACAAAAGATTTTACAAATTGAACAGTATCCTTTATTTTTCTATTAGTAGTTTCATTAGTTTATAATAATTGGTTGTTACATTATATGTGATAAGCATTGAATGATTCTGATTTAAAATTGAATTTTTAGTAAATTTTGGTCACTTTATTTCTTTAGTTATTGTATTTTTAAGAGATTGACATATTTGTTATCAATGTCCTTGGAAAGGTGTATTTCAAGTATGGAGAGTGACTAGAAAAATACAGAAATGAAGTGTGTTCATAATTGTGATTCTTGACTCTCATGGACCTAGGCATTGTATCATTTTTCAGAGATATCAACTGGAAGATGCTCATGAGTTCCTGCAATGCATGTTACATAGGCTTGAAAGCTGTTGACTAAAGCCCAAGAATGATTTGTCCTCTGTTGATGATTGCCTGGTTAAGAAGGTTTATTGTGGTCGCATGGTTAGTAGAGTATAAATGTTGCAACTTTATCATGGGTCATTATTGTCATTTGTAAAAGATGTATATTATTATTGTAATTTATGTGAACCTCTCCTTTAATGTAATTTATAAAAAGTTGTGGTCTCTATTATAATTTATAAAATGTTTTATCCTTAATTTTAATTTATAAAATGTTGTCCTTAATTTTAATTTATGTAAAGTTTTTTCCTTTTACTAAAATATTTTGTCCTTTAGTTTAATTTATAAAAGTTGTCCTTAAATGTGATTTATAAAAAGTTGTGTTGTATATTGTAATTACTAAAAAATTTAGACATTTATTGTATTTTTACGCGTTTTATTTGTTATAAAAAATTATGATAATATTTTTTTGTCACTAATACAATAAAATTCTTATATTATTAGTGACGATATTAATAAATAGTAACAAAACTTTATATTATTTGATGACATAATTAATTGTCACTGAATATAATTTCTAAGGTGACGTAATACATTAACATCACTATGTATCTAATAATACGTGACGAAAATATATACATCGTCATATTTGACATTTAGTGACACACCTAGTGTGATGTTCGTCGTGACATCAAATTTTACATCACAAAATATAAATAGTGGCATAAATATGAGTTTCAATGATGATATTTCAGATACCATAAATAAACAAATTTGTTGTAGTGATCAGAGTTAGTGTTGCATTCATATAATGCATAAAAGTGTCAGTATCACATTTATATAATGCGAATCAGATACAATCAATAGGGTTAGAGACCCTTTAGAGGTATACTCATGGCTAAGCCCTTAGTAGAGGATTTAGGGAAGCGTGAGACTCATACTTCAAATATAGAACAACTTCTTTAAGTATGTAGCACTTGATTTAGATCATGCATGTACCTATTTATTAGTACCATGTCTTCAGCATGCTTGTGTTTATGAACTTCTTCTTATGTTGATCTAGATTAGTGATTTTACTAATGGGCTTTATAAGCTCAGCCTTCATATATTTTCTGTTGGTAGGTCACTAGTTTGAGCAATTCGTAGAGCACCGTCGCAGCAGGACCTTCTGCATCTCCTTTAGAGTACTATACCGTAGCTTAATGGGCATATGTATTAATAGAACCTCACTTATGTATTAAGTTTATGAAACTCAAAGTTTGTATTATTTGGGTTTAAATTATGTGTCACGTTGCTTTGATTTTGAAAATATTTTATAACAATTATTTATGTTTATTTATGATACCATTTAACATGTTTGAAAAGAAAATAAATAGGTTTTGAAAATCAAGGGTTGCCTTAGTAGCCCAATATGGAACCTTAGGCCCAATTGGTTTAAGGTATTACATATAGTGGTATCAGAGCGACAGGTTGAGTCGATCCAAAGACCCAATGGTCTGTTTTAGTAAGATATCAATGAATACACGCCCCTAGGTACTGAAAGTACTTGTATAAGTCTGGAATCTTGATGGTACTTCCTTCCTTAATCTACATTATAGCATTTGTGAACACATATAGTTTCAAATATAATTCAAATAATCATTGACAAAGTTAGTAAAAGAGTACTACCAAGGGCAGAGGTTATTAGAGCATCGTTACGCACGGGCGTCGGAAAGATGACCTCTTTCAGAGGTGTAACTTCTGCTCTCAAAGAGATAGTGGATGTTATTCCTAGAGCACAAATAGTTTAATTAGAATATCCAATAAAGAGGGTAAGGAGGTTTCAAACAGTCGACTTCTTTGGTTTAAGTGATAATGACCCGATTTAGTCGATCAATAATTGAGAGAAACCGTGGGGACCTTAAGGCAGCTTCACCTTACCCTACTGAGTAAGTTAGAGAACGCCACCACTTTGCTCAAGGGCGATGCTATCGATTGGTGAAAAACTATAAAAATGACCCTACAACAAGAGGTGCTCACATGGAATCAGTTCCCATGCGAGTTTAGAGCAAGTATATTAGTGAGGCATATATGGATGATTTGAGAATACAATTCTCTCAGCTAGTTTAGAGAGATCGCTCAGTGTATGAATATGAGATTGATGACCCTTTTAGGTTAAATAGTTATTCTTCGGAGCTGGCTGTGATCAAGTCCTTAAAGTCTAAGAGGTCTCTTAAGGGGCTTTATTTAAATATCAGTGTGTAGTTAGTGGCAGACCACTTAGAGTGTTTAAGTGTAGAGAATGATGATGAGTTTACTGGGTGAGTCAGGTACCCCGAGTATAGGGACTTGTGTATTAATTGATATATCTCAGTCAATGACAGAGAGGACTATAGGTCTGCGTGAGTAGAGAACATTGACATAAACTCAGTCACTCTAGCCGAGTCAGAGGTCAGTTGTAGGTTCTCAATGGATACCATCAGTTTCACCATCAGTGACGAACTTTAGAAGCTTTGGTAGAGTTTTGGATTATCTAGAGTACAAGCATTGTGGTAAAAATCAGCGAGGAATGTTCTTTAAACTTTCAAGGAAGTGTTATAAATGTGGATCATTGATGCATATGGTAAGGAATTACCCTAATTCAAGGGGAGACATTTCAGCTCGATAGAGGGAAGTGATCCTAGTAGCTTAGCATGGTTGAGAGCCTACATAGGGAGATGCTAGTTTTATACTCATATATGAGAGCAGAAGAGAAGATCAGTCTGTTCTTGATCCGACTAAGCACGATTCAACTTGGCATATTATGGAGAAAAAAGAACAAGACGTTGATGTCGCAGATGAGATGTTAGATAAAGAATCCAAAAGTACGAATCCAAGTGGCTAGTAGGTAGACCTTAGTATATTAAACAAGGTTACCTTATATAGTTGTTGAGAGCTTAAATTAGGCTCGATGGTCGACCTAAAGAAAGTTGTTAGCACAAGTGTTGTTTGACCCCAAGATTTCAAGATTTAGAGTCAGGGGAATATGTTTCCTTGTTGAGTTGAAGGTTAACTCTAAGAAAATGTCTAGCCATAAAATCTTTCACCCTTGCATATTTCCTAGGGGAATATTCTTGTGGGTTGTCAGAGTTAGATACAAGACTATAAGGATGTCTTTGTATCATCAGTAGATGGTTCGTGTGATCGACATGTAGAGTATTAGTAATCCCAAGTCCAGTCTTAGAAGTAGAGATCTCCATGAGAGTATTAAGAGTACTCAGATTACTCTCGCCAGTATAGCGATCACCATGTTGTTAGAAACCTTATAATATGTCTCAACAAGTGCTAAGGCATTTAAGTTGCTAACTGGACATAGATACCCCAAGCTCGCGAGGAGTAAGTTAGCCAGGTATATATTTTGATGTAGTAGTTTTGAAATTTCACCCTAGATTCTAAAGATACTATAGGTGTTATAGTGAGTGGTGAGTTTCGAGTTACAGCAAACCCTCATACGTCACTAGGATGTCTTCTTGCATGAATAATAAATGAATCATCTAACACTACTAGAAAAAACCCTTTAATGACGCGCATTGCGCGTCATAAATTTATGACGCGCATTTATGACACACATTTATGACGCGCATTTATGACGTTCATTGAGCGTCATTGAAGCCCCCGTCATAAATTAAGATGACACACATTTGTGTGTCATAAATTTATGACACGCATGTATGACTTACATTGCGTGTCATTGAAGCAAACGCCATTAAAAAAGATGACACACATTCGTGTGTCGTGATTGTATTTCGTAAATGATTGTTATATATATATATTGTAGATTGACAAATAATCAAACTAAATAACATTTAATGCCTCATAATACTAAATATATATATCATATTATATATAAGCAATCTGTTTGAATACAATATATTCACATTAATTTAAAAACATAATATCCATCACCTATGACTATTTGAAAACAAAAAACCAAGAATGTTCTCAGATTATCACAAGAAGATACTAACAGATTATAAGATCTTAGATACAACTCCTCTAGCTTATTCTGCAATTTTGAAGTTACTTCTTTAGAGTTGAGAACTCTTCAAACATACTGCGAATGAGCATTGGCTTTAACTGAACTAGTAGGAACATCAGATGCACCAGCTGTTCCTGACCCCTTCCCAAAATTATAGCACAAAATCCATTCTACTTGCATGTTTCTTTGATTTGGATCCAATAAATCTGTTATTTACTCATTGTATATCTGCAAAAGAAAATTGAAAATGAAGTGATAAGGAACAAGAATAGTACAGCGCTAAGTAGTCCAATTATGTCAAAACTAAGAATCAAAATAATTCAATTATGTTTATCAGCATGCTTAATTCACAACTTCTAAACGAGAAATATAGTACAACTCAAATACCCACCTTGGCACATAGAACTCCAATTACAATCCCTCTAAGGTGGGAAAGACGGACAATAATGCATAAAGTATGGAAACAGGAATTACTCAATCGCACTGATTTAGCAAATTAGATTACTAAATTACATATCGATCAACTGGTAACCACAGAAGTCACATATAAGTTAAATTTCCTCGGGAATAGACTATTAATAGTAATTTAACTTTGAAATAGGCTTGCGATGCTATATGCATGAAAAATAGAATACACAAAGGATATCATAAAGGCAAAAACAAGAAATTCATAGATCAATTAAAAGCATAGCAACATAGCCCTAAACAAAGGGAACTAATTAACAACACATAAAATATTAGGAACAAAAGGCATATTGACAGTGGAACTTACATTTTATTAAATAACGTTTCCAATAATACTGAGAATTAAGCTTATTGATTACAAATAATAATGCATTAATGCTTACCTTTGGGACAAGAACTTCCCATGTTGCCACTGCCTTCAAGTCTAAAAATAAAATTAACAACCAAAAAAATCAATGAGAATAGAATCTAACCAATTGACTAGAGAGCCACTGACTAATAAAAACTAACATACCATGGTTGCAAAAGTCAATGCCAGGGAGAAGACCCTCCACCCAGACATTTCTTCTTGTTTCGATGTGGAAGTTGCTCCATTGGCTTTGTTATCATTCTCATGACCCTCAAATCCTGATATAAACCTAAAATAAATAAAAATCCTTAACCTCAGCTCCATGTTATTACAGTAAACTTTCACTTGTGAAAGCAAATAAGAGGAAAAATCCAGGCACAAAAGTGGTAAGAACTAAAGTGTAAC